AAAATTAACCTTAGATAATATACTTCATAGTCGGTATAGACCGTAACTATAACCAGCAATAGACATACTTGATGCAAATATCAAATGGAATATGAACTCACTATCATATCATTGATGTTATCAGAAAGTTTAAATTCGCTCATTAAGGACACCACTGTTCCATCTAGGTTCCATGCTTTTACAAATCGGTCAGCAGAAGCAGAAATAAAATATTTTCCATCAGGAGAAAACGCTATTCCATAGACACCTCCTTTATGAGCAGGTTCGACTTCATACAAGCATTCTCCACTGTCGCCATCGTAGACGAATATCTACAAGTAATAAATGGATAGCACTGAATTTATTATTGATTAATATAAATAAATCACGAGTAGCTGACACCAATCAGAGGCGATACACAAATCAATTAGTTGCATACCCTTCCGTCCGCACCTCCACTTATGAAGACAGCACCGGTCGGGGAAAAGCGAACGCAGTTTACGAAATTGGAATGTTTCTTAGATATAAAAACATAATTTTTACTTACAGTACTGGATAATTTAAACCTAAATGGAGGGCCGGCAAAAAAGCATACGACGGAATCTTCACTTCCAGTAACTGCTCTATATGGACGGGTTATCCTTAAATCTACCGAATTAATTGTCCGGCTCATCCCCATAATCTCACCAACACTGGAACCGGTATCCCACATAAATACTGTACCGAATCTAGTTACAGTTAAATAAAATGTATTTACTTTTCTCGGCCAGTTCCACCAACAATTATACGCTTACTGTCCTCAGACCAGGCTAAATCTTTTACAGGTCCAGCAAAAGGTTGATATTCATATTTTAGAATGTGCTCCTTGCTAGTTGTATCCCATATCCTAATCTTTCCATATAAATCTAAAGTAGGCAATAGAAAATGTGCTAACCAGCTGATGCAATATAGAATCCAGTAGGTGAGTATTTGGCAACCTTAACGGGAACAGCATGCTGGGTGTAAATGTCACTTTCATTGAGACACTGT